TACCAGCGCAAAAGACTACTGCCACTTAAGACTAAGTTAGACGGTGTTTCTGGCCTGCATTAGTGAACGGTGGGTGCCGTTTAGTCTTTTTGACTCCGGGCGAAGGTGAGGAGTGCAGTTGGCGCTAACTACGTCCGCTAAATACCGCTATAATCTACCCCCTGTTGGTGGGCTTCATCGAAATCGACGGTCAAGCTCACACCCTGTGTAGTACGATACACCAGATTTTCACACAGTAAGACGGTTAACGGCTCGAAGCACCCGTGCGTGAGAGATTCATAGATTCCCTATGAACAAAGAGCCGTTTATTCTGACTTTCAGTCGATCAGTCAGCCACTCCACCCAAATACGCACTGGATCTTTTGCGAGGTCTGAGTTGTAGCGTCACTTGATTGCCTTTAAAACTACAGCTTTAATGCATCGTGAAGGATTCATAAGCTTTTTGTAGTTAAAACGTGCTATGGAGTTACAATGTTGTTAAGAACAGTTTGTAGTCAAAGTGGACAATTGGACCGTTTTATCAACAAATGGACCACTCTGAATAGTGGTTTGCGGTGGGGGAAATGAATTTTTCTTTCTGAAAAATGATAGAAATTGTAAAAACGAATAATTCTGGCGTTCAGAAGAGTATTTGGCGAGTGTAAATATACTTTCGACAAATAATCATAGGCGAGTGCATTTATATGGGAAGGGGGTGCATGTCCTCCTAAGTCGAAGACCTGACAGTAGCGTCCAAAGGAGCGTTTTTTCGAAAGAAAACGTGGTGCGGACAGTATACAAACTTTAACGGTTTTGTACCTAGTCAACAAAAGCGCAACCTACCACGCTGCTTACTGCAAAGAGCCAGAAAAATCTGCATGACAAACACTATTGCAATAGAGGTCCAGAAAATCCAGGACCTGCTTCGAGAGTATGGGTAGCCCGACAGATTTATCATAAAGAATACGATGGAGAGAGAAACAAAACCCACCATACCCACCGTGGAAAAAAAGACCCAATTCTTCAAACTCTCATTT